GCCGCGCACTATCAGCGCAGGCACGGGCTCAAGCTGAAGAAGCCCGTAGAAAGCTGCAGAAAGAGGTAGCCAAGAAGCCACCACCAACTCGCAAAGTTTGGAGGCCGAAGTCTGAAGCGGCGGTTCAGACCCAAGAGCGTCAACTGCAGCCGTCGAAAGTTCAACTTCCGGCGAATCAATCCAAACCGCCGATGATTTCCACAACTGCTCCGGGAGATCCCGCAGGACCATCCCAGAAAAGGAAGTCAGTCTTGGAGCGCCTTGGTCCAATTCCCGATGAAAAAGGCAAAGCTCCAATCCAAAGACGTTTGGGTCCACTAAGAAAACCCCGAACGAATCAACATGATGGGGGTCGCCATCACCCTCAAGATGATAACGAGTTCAAGGCAGCTGCGCGCGCCACCTTGCGCATTGAAGTCCAGGAGCCCGCTGAGCATTCACGCCCACAAAGGCGCGTTTCGAGGCGCGTGACTCTCGAGAGTCCGAAGAAGGTAATTTACTCTCAGAAGGAAATGTTATCGTTTGATGATGATTGCTTTATACCTGAGAAATCGTGCCAACACACGATAGGTTGCTCCGACTTTCAAACGGAAGAGCTGTACTATCGTGCTGAGGGTACGAGCAAAGCCAGAAAGAGGAGTCCTCGAAGGCTAGAAACTCAGTGCCCTTGTTCAAAGCTCATTCGGGCGGTACTGTCTGAGTGCAACTGCATTAAGGCAGTCCCCGAGCGAATTTCAGTGTTCAAAAGGCTTGGTACCGAAACGCCAAGACCAAGGTCTAGGCGCTTCCGACAAAGAAGAAGGGTAATTGAAGACGGAGAATTTCCGAGGGTCACCACCAACATGACCAGCAGAGGGACATCGGCACGGGATAATCTCGAGTCGATCCTGAAAGCATCCCGGCCTAGAACTCGCCTGCAGTCCGGAGCCATTGCACGAGGAACTTATGATAGGGTTCGGACAAGAACACCTTCAGAATATGAAGAATCAGATGCCTGCTCTGCGGTCGCATCAGATAATACAGTGTCCAGCGATGGACAACCCTGCGAGTCATTCATGATAAGCACGGAACAAGTGGCCAAGATGCTCGAAGACGCCTTAGCTAAGCAACAGGAGAGCTTTAGGTTCGAAATGCAGATGGTCATGCAGAACATGAGAGAAATGCATGACCAGCAAATCCGAGCGCTGACAAACCAGCAAGGCGAACCAAGCCGCCGTAATCAAGTTGTTCAGGAAGTTGCACACTTCCGCCTCAGAATCGTGCTAACGAAAACACAGGCGAAAGTCTGAAGATCAAGAACCTCGAGAGCAAAATCAACACATTGATCTCCGCTCAAGAGATAAAGAAGACGGGCATTCCTTGTCCATACCCACGAGAATGGGAATCAATCCCTTATCCGGTGAAGTTCAGTCTAATTAACTTCACGCCGTTTGATGGGAAGGGTTCACCCACGCAGCATTTGATTTACTTCAAATCGCACCTGGGAAGGGTTCACCCATGCAGCATTTGATTTACTTCAAATCGCACCTGGTGTTATCTCTGGCAATGAGCCTCTGATGGTGCGGTCATTCGTCGGCACCCTTCGCGGAGCCGCCTTCGATTGGTATCGCCGCCTCAAGCCAGGTAGCGTGAACAGCTGGGACGATATGGAGACCATGTTCCTCACCAATTTCTTCGACGACGACACCGAGATATCTATCGGATCATTGCTCGATGAGAAGCAGAAAGACGGGGAGTTAGTCGACACCTTCGTCAAGAGGTTCCGGAACAAGGCGATGAACTGTCGGGACCCGATCACTGAGGAGTTCATCCTCCAGACTTGCCACAACAACCTTGCACTGGACGTGTTGGAAGCAATGGGAACAGCACCGTCTGACACTTGGAAAGACTTGAAGGTGCGCGGTGAACAAGCCGAACGTTTCCTCCGAAGGAAGAAGGCCGAGAGGAACCGACCGACAGTTAATCCGCTCAACTCAAACTTCGCCTCTCGTGGTAAGGACAAGGCACCTGCAGCTGCTGATGATGCTAATCAAACGTCACGACAGCAATCCCGAAGGCAGCAAAAGGCTTCGGGTCTGAGACTCCAAAAAGAGTACTCTTTTAAGGACGAAGACGTTCCAGCCATCTTCGAATCCCTCCTTGGAAGCAACAGGATCAAGCTACCACCTATCACAAATCAGGAGGAAGCTGACAATACTACGGACCCAAAGTACTGTGCATACCACAGGAGGGTCGTTCATCCCACCAAGGATTGCTTTTCTCTCAAGAATAGCATTCAGACCTTGGTTGAAGCCGGAGTTATATCGCTCAATTAAGTCAAAACAAGACTCCAAAGAGTATACGAGTATAAACTGTTTCTCAATCCTCCAACAGGTGCAAGAGGTTAAACTGCTCCCTGTATACTCCAATAGGTATATGAGTCTAAACTGTTTCCCACTTTTAACGGGAAGTTCTCCTGGAGAATATTACGTTAATATTCTTAAGGATAACCCGGTCAGGTAGCTGAGAATAATGTCCGAACCGGTTCAACAGAGGAGGCTGGGGGTGGACGATTTATGTAACGGGAAGTTCTTAGAGAATCGTATATCCTTAAGGATAACCCGAACACCCAAATGAGTACAATACCATACCCAGTTTTGCAGAGGAAGCTGGGGGTGGATGATTCATGTAACGGGAAGTTCCCAAAAGAATTCCATATAGTGTATTCTTAGGGATAACCCGGTCACCACATCAAGATAATGAATAAGAAACTCTCATTCAAATTCTCAGCACTCTCATTGCTAGAGTCTGGACATAATATTCAGAATTGGTCAAACCTTTCTACAGTTAGGACTAAAACCAAAACCCCTCTCGATTCCTCCAATGAACGAGAGGTCCACAGATCGAGCGATCAAACCTTCCT